CTTTAAATTCAGTGTTGCCCAGAGTTGCATCCTTGCCTTCTGCTTTTCTTAAGCTACAGACTCCTCCAGTGCGATCTCATTCAAATCTAAGACTTGAACCACTCAGAACATTCACAGGCTAACACCATATAGTCAGATGTGTCTACTGAGTGAAGGCCCATATGCAGACTCTAGGCCGGGGACGGTGGTTCACGCCTGTAATCTCAGCACTTTGGGAGGCTGGGGTGGGCAGATGACCTGAGGTCAGGAGTTCAAGACCAGCCTAATCAACATGGAAAAACCCCATCTCTACTAAAATTACAAAATTAGCTGGGTGTGGTGGCGCATGCCTGTAATCCCTGTTACTCAGGAGTCTGAGGCAGGAGAATCGTTTGAACCCGGGAGGCAGAGGTTGCAGTGAGCTGAGATTGTGCCATTGCACTCGAGCCTGGGCAACAAGAGCGAAACTCTCTCAAAAAAAAAAAAAAAAAAAAAAGCAGGCTGAATTCAGACAGACTTGCCTTTCAGATTGTCTCTACTTTTAACAGCTATCTGGCCTTGAGAAAGATACTTAAAACTCAGTCTCTTCGGCTTCAGAATGAGAGCAATCATATCACTAATACCTACCTATACACTTCTTTGGAGGATTAAACAAAGTAATGCATGTAAAGCACATAGTTAACAATAATGTTATTGTTATGATTACAAGGTTCTCTACCTACGTTCCCCAAATTAACTCAAACTTCACATATTAAAACATCAACTTAATGCTCTCATGCTTCTCCTTTTATTGCGGTAATAATCATAATATTTCGCTCAAGGATTAATTTCCATCACTATCCCATAAGTTAAATATTAGTGACCCCATTTTACATATGAGAAAACTGAGGCTTAGAGAAGTTAATTACTCTGCTTGAAATGGCAGAAAAATGCAGTTACAATTCAAGTTTATGATGCTCGATATCAAAATATGACTTCAGTGTTCAATTCCCAAGCCAAAACCCAGGACATTTATTTTGGACTTCTTCCTTCTCACTCAGCTACATCTAGTGGTGTGCTGGAGAACTAGCTCTAATGAAAAAAAGTCCCTAATTTGTAGCATTTGCTGATCTCAAGCTGTGAAGGTGGCATTACTGAAAAGATGGGCAGAAATGTCTTAAGAGTCTGCATAGGTGAGCTCCAGCACAGCGCTGGATCCAGGAAGCCCCCAAATCCTCTTAATGTGGATATAGATCATTTGGTTGAAAGCCATTTGCCAAAACCAACTTAGTCCAAATCAAGTTGGTGAAAACAACACTGTGTTAAAACAATCTGGTGAAGCCAGGCACACTGGCCCATGCCTGTTAATCCCAGCACTTTGGGAGGCCAAGGTGGGTGGATCACTTGACATCAGGAGTTCGAGACTAGCCTGGCCAACATGGTGAAACCCCATTTCTACTAAAAATACTAAAATTACCTGGGCATGGCAGCAAGTGCCTGTAGTCCCAGCTACTCGGGAGGCTGAGGCAGGAGGATCGCGTGAACCTGGGAGGTGAGGGTTGCAATGAGTTAAGATGGCACCATTGCACTCCAGCCTGGGTGACAGAGTGAGACTCTGTCTCAAGAAAAAATAAATAAATAAAAATAAAACATTTTGGTTGAAAAGGAATAATGTTCATTGACAGGCTGCAGATTTTTTCTCTTTTTGTCTTTTTTTTCTCTACTTTTTCCCTAAATAAATTTTGGTCAATTAGTCCCCTGGATATCCAACTGTAGGCTATTAGTTGTAAGGTTTTAATCTTGTGATGCTCCGCTCCCATTACCCATCACCCTCCATGGTCCAGCCTTACTGCATATCCTTCTGTTCTCACAAATGCTATGGTTGCTTCACTTCTAGGCCTGTGTGCAGGCAGTACTTAGGCCTAGAATGTCTATCCCACCACACCACCGTCTTTGCCTGGCTGACTCCTGGCCATTAATATTCAGTTTAGGCATCAGCCCTGGGAAATTACTTGGAACAGACTAAATGTGAAACAATGGGAATTAGATTGGAAGAGTACAAATGTCCAAAGCTTGGCCGATTGTGTAAATGAACTGCGCTGGTTTTCAAAATGTACATGGTGTAAACTATTTTGGTAGGGAAGTAGGCACATATACATGGAAAAGGCTCTAAGAAGTTAGTGTCTGGGGGTTTTGCAGTGGTTTTATAAATGTGAGTGGGATTGTGTGAGGTTTCTTTGCTCATATGTAGCTTCTGTAATAAGTATGCATTGCTTTTGTAATAAGAAAATCTGTTTTTTTTTTTGTAAGATACCTTTATTGTTAAGATTTTGGTATTCAACTTGTTCATTATTATAATCAATTTTGGACAAGGATTACTGGTTGACTATTCCTTGGATGGCAAACCTAGAAAATAATGGAAGACAGGTAATACTTAAGAACACATAAGTCATCATATGGTGCACCAAAATTACCAGAAATGAAGAAACCAGATGCCCAAGAGATTAACTTTCAACTGAAGTGTAATTTCAGCAGGATTATTGGGTTAACTAGATTATATTTAGCTAAATTCTATGCTATCGTTAACTCTACCACCTTGAGAACTCTAGTGAATCTTTTATTTTCTCTGTCCCATTCCTTTTGTTATCAGGTTAGGAAAGCAATCAAGTCTCTAAGGGCACACAAGCCCCCTCATTACCATCAGAGTGCTACCTAGATCTTGGCATCTCCTCTGCCACATGTTCTTCTCCTCCCCACCCCTGACACTACCCCCTGCCTCCTGCCCAGCCACATGCCCTTTGCTGCAGTAATGCAAGCTTCATATTCCTGAATGTGTCATGTGGTTTCAGTTCTCTTAAGCTTCTGCAAGTTCTATATTCTCTGAAATGATTTCAAAACACATAGTCCTGTGCATACACACACTGTGATACAGTATAATTAATATTAGCACACTGTGGAGTATTACTATTAATCCTACCTGCCTTATGGACACCATGTGACTTCCTCACCTTGACATCCTAAATGTTTCTAGACTGTGTGACCCAAAGTATGGTCTGCACACCAGCAGTATCACACGGGAACTTGTTAGATGTTAATTTTAGGCCCCACCACAATGTCTACCGAATCAGAAACTCTGAGGAGGAAGCCCAGGAAGGACATTTTAAAGGCCTTCCAGTTGATTCTTACGCACATAAAGTTTGAGAGGCGCTGCTCTGCGTAATTGTTAACATTGCCTGCACAAACTAATAAATGATTAAAAACTTAGGAAACTCCTTCACATTTGTTTTAAATCTACCTCCATTCTAAGTCCTTGCTTTGGTATGTATAAGTCCAGAGATGTATGTATGTGTGTGTATATGAATTAATGAATAAACAACCAATCCTGTCAAAAAAGTCCAGTGAAATTTTACTTAATTATTTGATCACTGCAAGACATGAAACTTTCTCCTCTAAAAAGGGGAAAAGAGGAAGTGAATATGGGATTTCATTCTACAGGAGTTCATTTGTTATTAGTTGCTTAGTGGATTCTTAGGATTCTTTTATATAAATATAAAGTTAAATTTATATTCCAACTTCTAATTTTGGATGGAGAAACTGAACCCTACGAAGTTAAACACTCAGTATCTTGCCTAGGACCACACAACAATTTAGTGGGAGGCCTAGACTGAGCAGACTCTAATTCCAATTTGTTGCTCATCTACTGAGTTACAGTGTTCCTCTACCTTTAGTTATAGTATAGGAATTAGCTTAGTGGAGAGCCCTTGGAAGGTTACAGTAAACACTTTATTTTGTGGTCAGGTAATTAAATGTGTAAAGGTCCCTTACCCTCTATCCAGCCATTACCTATAGGACATTTCTATTTGGCCAGGAGTGATTTGTTGGCTTTGTAATATAGGCAGCCTTTGTACATCTCTCTCTGTGGCTGCTGAAATCTTGGCTTGCACCCAAATGCCCCACTTGGGTTTTGTTCAGAAAAGATTTCCTCCAGCTGCTTTATTTGTTCCACGATTACATGTATGAGCTTCCAGAATATATAAGATCACGAGTCAAATGAAAGGCTTCAGCTCCCAGTTCACATAAAGAGATAACATTTGAAACCAAGGAAACAACAAATCTTGGCTAAATGAAGGGCTAAGCATAAATGAGACTGAATAGTATTCTTACTAAAAGGTCAGCACATGCTAAAATGCTCAAGGAAAACAGACACTATAGGATAATCATAGGATCTCTGTGCTACATTTATGGTCACACTGGCAAAGGGATTCAGACTTCCCCTTTAGCATTGGCAATTTGGGGCAAAGCAAGCTGAGAGAAACAAAAGACAAATCTGGATTTATTTGGAAGACTATATCCCAAAATGAAATTCAGACATCCTGGAGATTGGCCATCATTCAAGTCAGGAGCCTTGGGGTCATCATAAAGAGACGAGTCTAAGGCAAAAGGCTAAACAGGAAGAGGGATGGCAGTTATTTGCAGCAGATGGAAGAGTCACTGAAGAACACGCAGAGAAAGACCTACAGGTCATAGGGCATGGAAAGAAGATGACCTCTAGTACAAAAATGGAGAGTCTGCCAAAGGATACTATCAAATGCCAAAAGAGTCTTTGGAAATTTAAAAAGAAAATCTGAAGTTGGTTCCATGAATCTCAAAATAAATATTGGAAAGTATTTAGGAGTAGACAGAGGTGCTAACATCAGTTGTGCTTCCAACACATCACACATGTTTATTAGTTGTGATCAAGTTTACAGGATTCATGAGAACACACTCTTGTTATATCATAAATGGGACAACTGTTATATGCAAAGAAGATCAAACACAATGAGACCTTCAGAAGATTATGTATAAGCAGTGAAGATACTCTTATTTGAAGCAATCTGGACCAAAAGTCAATCAATTAATCTTTAAAAGTGTGTTATAAAGGGAAAACCACGCACAAAATGGAGACACACTGTTGTGGATGCTGTCGGGTACCACTGAGCTCCCCCAGCTGCTGGAAGTGTTGTCTGCTGACTGTTCTCAGCTGAGAACCTCCTGAGACTCACCCTCAGCCAAGGAAGTTGCCTTGTTCGAGGTTATGCCCCTCCCCTGGGGAGCAGCCCACATCCAAGGTCTGATCAACACAGGAGGACAAGTTCCAATGGCCTCAATCTCCATCTGTGAGTCTGTTTCCCAGGAGCCTGGCCTAAGACACATACATAACTTTAGCGTTTAATTGTAAACTTAAAATAAGTTTCCTATCTTGGTTTCCTGAAAGCATGAAAACTTAACTACTGGGAAACACTCTAGATGTGGACTCTCTCGAGATTTTTTATTCATTCCACACCTCAATCTTTCACAGTTATTTTATCTGCAGCTAATGTGACATATTTTTAAAAGTTTTAACTGTATTAAAATACACATAACATAAAATTTACCACCTTAGCATTTTTTTTCTTTTTTTGGAGATGGAGTTTCACTCTTGTTGCCCAGACTGGAGTGCAATGGCGTGATCTAGGCTCACTGCAACCTCCGCCTCCCGGGTTCAAGGGATTCTCCTGCCTCAACCTCCTGAGTATCTGGGATTACAAGCATGCACTACCACGTCCAGCTAATTTTTTTTTTTCTATCTTTAGTCGAGACGGGGTTTCTCCGTGTTAGTCAGGCTGGTCTCAACTCTTGACCTCAGATAATCCACCCACCTTGGCCTCCCCAAGTGCTGGGATTACAGATGTGAGCCACCGTGCCCAGCCTCACCTTAGCCATTGTTAAGTCCATTCACCTTGTTGTGCAACCATGGTGGTGAGTGGACTATCTCCTCATCTCCTGTCCTCTGTCTCCATTCCAGAACTCTCCTCATCTTGGAAAATGGAAACTCTGTACCCATTAAACCCTAATTTGCTATTCCTGCCTTCTCTCCAAACCCTGGCCACCACCATTCTCCTTTCTGTCTCTACAAATTTGACTACTATAGGTACCTTAGTGAGTAATAGTTTATTAAGTCTTTTCATAGCCCTCAAAGTTCATTTTCAGGAAAAAGCTGCTTTCTTTTTGTACTTCCATATTCTATCTGTTTGCCTGATATTTAATTAAATTACATAATTACAATAACAAGTTCGACTGGCACAAATAGGTTTGGGAATGAACACAAACAGCAAATAACATAAACACGGTTGGCAGCAAATAATTTCAGCTAGTTGGAGTAGAAGTGTGTGAGCGTACTAAAGAGAAGCTTGTTACAGTTCACCATGTTATGGCCATCCATTGGACTGCTCGGCATAGGGTCTGGAAGCTTCCTTTAATCTGGTGAATTGGTTAAGAAAGCTTCTTCTACTATATAAGAATATATATTGTTTGCATTTAATGAGTACCTACTATGTGCCAGGCATTGTGCTAAAGATGTAAGCTGCATTATGTCACTTAACGCCCATAATCCTGTGAGGTGAATATTACCGTCATTCTCCTTTCACGCACCAAGAAGCCTAGGCACAGAGAGGTATCTAAGCAATTTATCCAAAGTCACACTACTAGGAAGTGGCAAGGCTGAGATTTTCAAGGCAGTGTGACTCCAAAGCCAGTCCTCCCTTCATCTGTCATGCTGGCTCTTAAAATGAGTATTAAATAAAAGGGATACCCAGAATAAAAATACAGAAGTCATCCTTTGTTTTCTATGGTATCATACAAAATGACAAAATATGTCACATCTAATTTCTGTAAAAGACTGTCATTTAACAAACAAGGGTGTACTTACATGCTCACAACAAAAGAATGTAGGTAGTGCAATCTGCAATTGTTATTTGTTTACATAGGAATGATTTCAGTTAATTAAAGACAGAAGAGTTAGGCAATATTTGTAAGGAAAGAACTGAAGTCAGACATCTTAATTATGCTCTCAGATTAGCACACAAAAAAAGAAAAAGCTACAAATGAAAAAAAATGGGAAGTTTATACACTATAATAACAGCTAAATGTGTTACATCTCAGGACAACTCTTTGAATCAAAAAGAGAGAGCGAGCGAGAGCACCAGCACATCTAAAATGATTCAGAGTCAGATAGCAAGTGCTTAATTAGAGAGGTCTCATTACAACCATCTGTATCAACACTCATATGGAAAAAGCCAAGCTATAGTTTTACTAGAGGTATTTCTCCCAAGAAGATTAAGCATGAATTTGTGGTTGTCTCTCTCAAAAAATAAAAATAAAAAATGAATGACATCTCAAAGCAGATCCAGACATATTTTTTTTAAGAGGCATTTAAGATTGCCAAATCATAATTAGTAGAAGCAAACTCCATGTAATGGCCCATAGGAGAGCTGGGCAGACAGAGGGGCCTGCATCCTACAGGGCAATGTGGTAGCTCCTCTCCACCTCCACTAGCAAGAGGCTGCCCATTGCTCCCCTCCTCATCCAGGACACTGAGCTATAAAAACAGCAGCAGAGATTCCCAACAAAGTTGCACACAGCCAAGAAAGACCTCGGCAGCAGTCGGCTCTTTTCAGTACCAGCAATCCATGAACTGGACATCATCAGACACATCCCTATGAACCAGCTGTCTCCCAGATGTCCTGAAACAACTCCTCTTTCATGGAGCAGTCTAACCTCAATGCACATTTCTTGATAAACTACCTTCCCTGATTGTCCAAAAGATGCCTTAAATACTTGAAAACACAGCCCAAATTGCTACCATAGTGAACCCCACACCTGCTCCTCCTCCCGTCCCCTGCCTTACTGAATGAAGCCACCATTCACTCAGGCTCCCAGGCCTCCTCAACTTCTCCATGTCCCTTCACCGTGCATCTTATCACCATGATCCTGTGGATAGACATTAAATATCATTTGAATGCACCTGCTCTTACACCACTACCTTAGCTTAGGGCCTAGACTCTTGCAATAGGGCCCTTAAGAGTGATCAGGAAGTCTCAGTAGCTTGGTTGGGGGTTTGATACACAATCTCCTCATTTACTGAGCTCCAACTTCCTATCTAAATACCATGTTCAATTCCTGCATCATGCAGGTCAGAATCCCTGGAAAAATGAGAAAGAAAAAAGGGGACTTTCCCTTAGCACTTTATCATGAGGAATTTTTAGTGTCCCGCTTACAGAATGAAGAACATCGGGTAATACCAAAAATTCTTTTGTAGCCTGAATAGGACAGCTTCTTTCTTTTTTCTTTTCTTTTTTTTAAATAAATGTTAGGCCAGGTATGGTGGCTCATGCCTATAATCCCAGCACTTTGGAAGGCAGAGGCAGGAGAATCACTTGAGCCCAGAAGTCTAGGACCAGCCTGGGCAACATGGTGAAACCCCATCTCTACAAAAAATATACAAATTGACTGGGCAGGGTGGTGTGTACCTATAGTCCCAGCTACTCGGGAGGCTGAGGTAGGAGGATTGCTTGAGTCTGGGAAGTTGGGGCTGCAGTGAGCCATGATCGTGCCTCTGCATTCCAGCCTGGGCAACACAGTGAGACTGTCACAAACAATAAATGTTTGTGACATAAATACACCGTACCGTGTATATTTAAGGTGTACAACATGTTATGGGATACATATTGATAGCAAAATGATTACTATAGCGAAGCAATTTAACATATCCCAACTAACTATTGCACAATTACCCATTTTCTTGTTTTTGTGGTAAAAGTAGCTAAAATCTACTCATTTCGCATGAATCCCAAATACAACACAACTTTATTACCCGTAGTGCTCATGTTGTACATGAGGCCTCTGGGCTTGTTCATCCTACACCTCTACTGCTTTGTATCCTCTGACCTGTATCTCCCCATTTCTTGTCATGTCCTCACAGCCCTGGTAATCACTGTTTTATTCTCTCTGTATATTTGATTGGGCTTTTGTTGGCTTTTTAGATTCCACATATAAGTGAGATCATACAATATCCGGCTTTCTGTGTCGGGTTTATGTCACCTAGTATAGAGCCCTCCAGGTTCATCCATGTGATGACAACTGGCGGGATCACTTCTAAGGCTGAATAATATTCCACTGTACACTTTCTTTATCCATTTGTCCAGCAACGGACACTCAAGTTGTTTCTATATGTTGGCTATTGTGAATAATGCTGCAATAATCAGCAGATATCTTTACAAAGTGGTGATTTTATTTCCTTTGGGTATATTCCCAGAAGAGGAATTCCTGAGTCACATGGTAGTTCTAATTTTAATTTCTGTCTCTCT